AGAGAGAGAGGAGAGAGAGAGAGAGAGAGAGAGAGATTCTGATATTTAGTGCAAACAGTTATGCTCTTCCTGACAAGCAATCACAGCAACACGTATAACGTTTACAAAACAAATGGTCGCTTTTAAGCACACAAGGGGGCTATCCCTAAAAATGATGTTTTAAGTAAATCGAAGGTAAAGTTTTTGGACCCTTGTTCAGTTTCTTTAAAAGACAAGGAGAGTTTTCTCTATAACCAAACAAATATACACACCACTGAAACCAAACTTCTCCTCCTCGTAGGGCACTTTTGGTGTTGGTCAAGATTTCTGGAAACCCCCGAAATCTGGGTTAGCCCGCTTAGGCTTGTCCTTAAAAGCGACCAAATGTGTTCATACGAGGGGAAGCTTTACCCAAGATATCGTCGACCCATATTAACTGTTTTGTCAAAAGTGTACTTAAGTAAAGAGGCACTTTGGACAAAATAGTTCTGAGGCGACGATATGTTGCAGATTAAAACTTCACTTTACCTAGGACTAGTAACCGAAAAAAAGGAGAACAGCGTTGTTGTTTAGTCAGCAAGAGGTTTTGGGTACTTGCAACACACATTGGTCGAAGTCATAGCAGTGTCGGAGATTAAAGGTATTAAGAGAGTCACGTACAAAGAAAAAAAGGAAGGGAGAATAGGGTTGATTATTAGACCGAATATATCCAAGCTGTAGATCGTCGTGAGTTTGTATATTATGTGCGTATGTACGTAAGTGTGTATCATGTGTATGTATGTGTGTGTGGGTGCGTGTGTGCGTGAGTATGTGTGAGCATGCGTATGTAATACTATGTGCCTATAAAATGGATTGGTAAATCCACAATATTGTATTTCATGTTAAGCGCACAGGCCATTGTACAGTGGATATATGCGCTATATAAATGCAATTCATTATTATTATTATTATTATTATTATTACATGTAGTACTATTATTATTTGATAGATGTTTGATAAGAAAGAGAAGGAGCAAACCAAAGCACCGACCAACCAT